GCGATCATGACGAGTATCTGAGAGAATCGTGCGCTCATTCTCATTTGTACTTCCATCTTCGTTGGCTTCACTCTCATCTGTACTCCTCGTCTTCATCATTGCATTCAGGTGACAAGTCCACCGTGCACCACGCCGTCTACGGCGGCATCAGAGACATCACATGCAAGTACCGAGGCGCGAACACGAGAAGCCTCAAGCGCCGCTGTGGACCGTAGCTCTTCCCCATCAATCGTCCAAACTCGGTCTCCACGTCGAACACACCTTGCACGAGTGGCGCAGTGGCAACCACATCCCAAGAAGAGAAAATCGTCTAAGTCCACCCAATGAGGAAACAGCTTGCTTACTAAGTGTTTAGAAAAAAAAATCGTCCCGGGCGTTTGTCAATCGAAATAAACCTTGAATGACCATTGATCAATCGGAACTTGTCTTGTCCATCTGCTTCTACCCACCAAGTTGTCTCATTGCTTCGCTGACTCGTCTTATGGCGCTGCCATTTGACATACCAATCAGAGCCATGTAGCCCTAGAGAGTCAAAGCCAAATAAGTTTCGTATGGAAAAGAAATGGGATTTATTTCAAAATAAATGATTTTCTGGTCTTTGGGCTGCTATGGCATCCACAGGAAGCGTATGAACACAAGAGCACCCTCGTTTGATCCGCAAAAATTTAGCGCTTCTGCTGTGCTTGATTTGAAACGCACAGCAGACAGAATCGCCGAGCACGACCCGAAATACTGACTGCCAATTAATCGCACCTGCCTCAATCCCAAGAGCAATATGTTGTTACAAAAAGGGAATACATATGTTACTTTCAAGGAGGTGACCGAACTATCCCGCTGAACAACATATTAAGGTACATTCCTTGGTGGATGGCTGTCTGACGACATGCCGCGACATGCCGTGTGTGTGGGGAAGAGGTCCTCATGCTCACTGAGTTGGCGACACTTCAGATTCCGTTTGCCGACTGTTTAATGTGTAGGTATTGACACAGTTTCAAGCATAAAAAGGGGTAGGTTGCCAACCTGAGAACCATAAAGGAAAAAGCTAGTGGAAAAGCGGCGCATGCCACACAGTCCCACAACTCTTGACAACATACCCACAAACCAAGTACCGATTTGAAGAATTACGATCCGCGATGACGGAGTGCAACCTCCACGATTCATCGCTTCCACTACAACTTTACAATGAGGTTCTGCGCTTCCACTACAACTTCACAATGAGGTTCTGCATCAACTTTCAGGCAGCAGCAAGCCGGGATAACGAGAGAGGATCAATGCCACTGCATTAAGTGTGCCCGTGTGGCGGTGAATCCGGTGATGCACTTTGACCACTGATGGCTTGAGGGCTCATTTTTATTTTCTTGAGCCGGCATTGCGCCGGTGGAGGTGTGCCTGCCGCTCACGGCTAGTGCTCGCGGTGATGGGGCTGTTCAAGGGCCTGGGCTTGCTGCTCGTGCTCGTCCTGCTTGGGAGTCGCGCTACGGCGAAGTCGGTGTCGTCAGCGGAGGGAGACTGGTCTCTGGTGACCAGCCTCCTTGTTGGCCAGGTCCCCCCGGCGCTCAAGGAAGCCGTGGCGCAGTTTGACAACAACATCCTCGTTCAAAGCCTGGGCCCAAATGCTTTTCTGCTGACCGATGCGCAATACCACAAGCGTGTCGTCTTCAACGAATCTGGCTCCACCCCGCTCGTCGCCCCGTCCATCGAGTTTCCCGCCTCGGCCTCGGCATGCCTCTTGCCCGATGGCTTCGGTTTTGTGTACAACCATGCCGAGCTTGCCTTTGTGGCCCCTGATGGCACGACTCGAGCCAAAAAGGCCCTCTCTCCTTCGTTGCTGGCCAACGCCACCTTGGCGTGTGACCCTACTCAAGCCAAGCCCACTGTCATCGTTGGAGTCGTGAACAGCTCGAGCAACTCACGAAAGCCAGCCGTTCCGTTGATCTTCCGCTGCTTCTACAATGCGTCCACACCTCAGCTCGATTGCCGCACCTCCTCATACCCACGCCGCAACACGGGCTTTGTTTGGACCCTCGACGGAATCCTTACGGCAGCTGCTTTTTCGACACCCTTTTCCGAATCCAGCTTCTTGCTCTCCAACCAGCTTCTCTATCCCAACCAGCCCCCGCCACCAGGCCACTCGGTTGACGTCGGCCCGACGGCAACGTGCAAGGAGCTGCAGTACAGCTCTGCCGTCTTTCCCCTCAATTCCCAATATGCCGCTCTTATTACGGCCACCCTTGAGTTGTACATTGTGCAAATGGGCCCTCGTCCAATTTTTTCCAATTGTCGCGTTCTCGTGCACCGGCAGCTTCCCGATGACATTGCCGAGCTCTCCCACGCAAGCATCTACCCCCTTGATCCTTCCGGGACGCTGGCCATGTTGGTGCTCCAGCCCATCGACTCCGATTGCGTTCACCTCTATGCTTTGGGGTTTGATCCATCAATTGGGGATCAGGGCATCTTCAACTTGAGCACAGGCCATCCCCTCCCCGGTGTTCAGCTGGCTACGCACGTCTTTGTACCCCACCAAAAGCAATTGCTGGTCATGGGTCGTGTGTTGCAGCCACAGAATGTACTCCTCGGTCACACGGTGCCGGCCGAACGACAGAACCGCCGTGACATCAATGCCAACACTGAGGGCAAATTGACGCCATCGAAGTTTTCGATAAACCTTCAGGCTTATACAGCGTCGGCCCACTCAATCCCCAACGGCCAATCGAAGCGCAAACACATGCCGTCATGGCTGTGCTGGGGTCTGAGTATTGGTGTGATGATCGTGCTCGTAGCGGTTGTCGGGCAGCGGGCCAAGCGTAAGCATGCAGAAGCACAAGGAGACGGCAACAGCAAGGCTTCTAAAAGGCTTCCAGCTATGCCTGATTTTATGATTTCAATGGTCTTTGGCACGCTGACGAATCATTTCACGAGGATCAGCGAGTCAGACTGTGTTGACTGGTCATCTTCCGATTTGTGGATGTTGCTCCTTCGCATCGATGATAAGAGGAAGAGCGACGAGAAGAGAACATGGGCACGTCGCCTGCTTGAGTTGCTCAAGCACCACTTGGAGGCTCAAGCGCCTCTACAAGGGCCTCTCCCGGCCCGGCTTGCCACATTGCTTTCTTACCTGACGGTTGACGAAGCAAAAGCCTTGGCTTTCACCTTCCTGTGCCACTCCAGTACGTATAAGTACACCATACAACGCGGTGTCGGCTGAGCTTTTGCGTTTGCCAACACACATTTCCCCGCGCTCATGGTTGCCACTCTTCCAACTACCTCATAGAAAAAAAAGATTACGAGCTGGTCAAAGACGTTACAAGGGCCTTGCTGCAGCAATTCGTTAAAATCCCTGATGATCGCTCTGTCAGCGACTTTTTGTTGTCAAACAACGATGGCGAAGAAGAGTCTTGCCTTTGGATTCGTCTTTTACAACATGGCTTCGTAAGCATGTAGCACTTCTATGCGCGCAGCGGCGATAAATGTTCATCATGGCCTGTGTGTTTCCTTTGCCAGGATGATCTGGCACACGATGTCTTGGAATTGCTAGACTCTAACAAACAGAAGCAACAGGTTGAAGAGGTGGGTGCAGCTTGTTGTCGCGTTGTTGTGCCATAGGTCGAAACGCCTTCTTCTCAACGATTTTATCGTGCCTTGATCACTTGTCGCTACTCTATGGTCAGCTCTTGAGTGTCGACTCAAGAGTTTCTGGGGTCCAGAAAATCGCGTCGTCTCCAGAGGAGTTTCCTCTTTGCTTTCGCTTCATCGTCAGATATGGTTCCCGAATCAACACACATCGCGCCAAGCTGTCAGCGATCGATGACAACTGGTGCGAGCACTGGACGAAGCCCTTGATGACCGACGGCAACCGACCGTATATTATGAATCTCTGCATAGAATTGGTTAAAGACCGAGATGTGTATCCCTTCGTGTTTATGGCAATGTGCATTGTGGTCTTTTGTGACAAGAGGCACGGCACGAAGTCTGGACCCTACTGTTCCGCGTGCCTAAAAACCTTCAAAGACTACCCGGATCTGTTCAAAGTGAACCTTACAACGGCTCGCAAACGTTACCAAAAGCGAGGCCAAAGAAAAACTGGAGGCCAAGCAAGCAACTCGACGCAGGCCACGCCGAGCAGTCCGATGACGTCGTCACCCGTACCTTCCACTGCTTTGTGATTCGAATTGCATTTTGTTTTTTTCTTTCTTTCTTTCTTGTGATGCATGGTTCAATTTTGTTAAAACACTGTCAAACAACACAGTTGGGAAGGCTGATCGCATGGCACCGTCGCCAAAGAGTCGGTAGCAGCGAGCCGGAAAGAAAAGGAGGGGGAAACAGATTTATTGGCTGAGGGTGAGGTGGAGGCCAACCTGGTGCTTGTCCGAGGCGAGGGCGTTGCCGGCAATGTCGGCTGAGAGACGGAGAAGGACGCCGGGGCGGACGGCAACAACGTAGCTGGCGTTAATGTCCATGGCGGTGTTGATCTTGACCTTGGCAAAGGAAGTGGCGTCGAGACGCTTTTGGGCGGCAACGGCGAGGGAGGTGGCACCCGAGGTGCGGTTCCAGCCAAACTGGACACCGGCCTGGACGGCGGGGTTGACAGCGTGGAAGATGCTGCCATCGACCTTGGCGGCGTCGGTGATGGAGGTGCCAACGATGAGGTCGCCCTCACGGTAGCCGACGGTGAACTTGGTGCCCGAGGGGGCAAAGGTACCGAGGCTGATGTTGCTGCTGACGCCAAAGAGGAAGTTCTTGTAGCCAAAGCAAGTGGTGGCGTTGATGGCCTTTTGGGTCACGTCCATGGTGGCAGTGAAGGCATCCTTCTTCAAGGCGGTCTTGAGCTTGAGGTCCTGAATGCCAGCTGTTTCAAGTGACAAAGAAAGGCAGGGGGTGTGCGTTAAGATGGGACAAACATGGGCAAAGGAAGGAACGCGCATTCATGGCGAAATTCTCGGTCAAAAGTCATCAGTTGGGAGAGGGGGAGGGTACCAGGCGGGCTTACCGTTGGGGACAAAGTTGGCGCACAGGGTGGCATCAGAGCCAGCAACAACCTTGTTGGCAACGCCGATCTCGGTGGCCACAACATTCTTGGTGGTCCACTTTTCCTTGATGCTCACACCGGTGGGCTATTTGGTCGTGAGAAGGGTTGAAGAGAAAAGAAAGGGGTCAGTCCACAGGCTGCGAGCTGCGTGAATATGGAGTGAAAGAGATGGGAAGATACTGCGTGAGCACAGACCTTGTGGGTATACTTGGTCTCGAGGAGAGCGTTGACGGCACCGCTGGCGTTAGAGCGGGCACCCTCGACCTTCAGGGCCTAGCAAACCGCATCACATCGAGAACAGCATGAGATGATCGTCGTGCTGGTCATGGGTAACCCACTGAAAACAAAAGAACGCGCTCACAAACACACAGAAGGGGGAACAGAAAGGAGCATCAATCAACGTACAACGCCGTTGGCGGCAGTCGACTTGAGGGTGAGCTTGTTCTCGGCGCCACCTGCGGGGGTTGAAAAAAAAATGAGGGTGAATTGACACGGCGGTGGAAATGGTGGCTGGAGGGCGGCGCTGACCTACCAAAGTCATCGGAGAAGAGGTCGTTGGCCGCACGGGTGATGTCACCAGCCTTGGGAGGAGCCATGTCGATGGTTGGGAGGATTGAAGGAGAAAAAGAGACGAGAAACGGGAAAGCTGGCGACCGGCAGAGACAGGCAAGGCGATGGTGGTGAGATGAAAGAAGTCAGGCACAGAGCAGCAGCCGCGATATCTAGCCGCACTAGGGCAGGAGTGACGACAGCACACAGTAGCACACCCGAGAAGAAAATGGCACAAAAAAAAAACATGGACGAGCCGAGCTAGAGGTACAGAGAGGAAAGAGATGGAGAGAAAAAAAAAAGCATCAACAACAGTGGCAACAATCAGTCGTAGTCGTCGCAGTGGGGAGTGATGTTCTCAATAATGACACGGCTCATCAGCCCAAATGGCCACCACAAGACCACCACCAGTTGCAGTCACAAAGAGGGCAGGGAATGGATCAATGGAAAAAAAAAAGGGAGAGAAATGAGAGAGAGAGATACGAAAAAGAGAGGGCAGAGAGGGCAGAGAGAGAGAGAGGACAAGAGAGAGAGAGAGAGAGAGAGGAGATTCGAGGTTCGAGAGAGAGATTCTCAAGAGAGAGAGAGAGAGAGGGCAGAGGGTGGAGCTCTTGTTGCGGGTGCGGGCACAAGCACAGGCGTCATGCGCAACGCCATGAAACCCTTCTCAGCTTCTCAGCGGGTTGCAAAGCGTGTCAAGTGTGCCGGTTATGATCGGCAAGACAACGCGTGTCAAGCCTTTCATGCCCATGGTGGCAGGGGAGAGACAACCACAAAAAGGGGGGGGGTCACTGCGGGTCACTGCGGGTCAGTGACCGCGCTGCCATTTTGTGAAGGCACGCCACCATTAACACCACAACAGAAAAAGAGCTCCAAACCCGAGTTGTGCTGTGCATAAACCCGCTCAACGATACACCCTGCTCAGCCATTCTCTCCGCTTGGCCAAGTCAGCGTGTTGATGCCAGTGAGCTGCATGGGGCCTCGATAAAAGACCCGCTGCCATATCACTGGCACAGCACAGACCTCAAACACCAGACGCCACTGCCACTGTGTGTGTGCGTGCGAGAGAGAGAGAGAGAGAGAGAGAGAGAGAGAGAGAGAGAGAGAGAGAGAGAGAGAGAGAGCGACACACACACACACAGACACACACTACGCAATACAACAGTTACTCTTTCTTACTTTGCAAATAGAAAATGAGAGAAAAAAAAAAGGGGTTTGAGGCTGGAAGAGGGGTGAGCGAATAAAACTTGAGAAACAGAGACACGACTTTGTTACTGGCAGAGCATAGTGAGCTGGTAAACGGCGAAGAAGAGATGTGGGCTGGGGATGATAGAATCTTAGAGAATGGCAGAGCGCAATGAAACAGAAACTTAAAAGAGACTCGGAGATTAGGAGACTCATGGGGTTGGGCCAAAGGGGAATAAGCCAAAGGGTGTTTTTGAGTGACAAGCAATACAAAATTATGACCCTGGCCGTAGTGGTGACGTTTGCACTGTCCTCGTCAAAAAGCTGACATTGACATTGTTACACTTTGCTACACTATTGTCTGTTTAGAGACTGATGTTTGACACATAGCTTTGCTGATACTGGTTATAGTTGAAGAAGGAAAAAGTCGGTGTGGAGTGATACACAAATCCAGCCAAACCCTTTCGAGCAGTGTCAACGTTGGCACACCCATTGGGCAACCCTATGATGCAATGCACGCCAAAGTTTCAAATGGCGAAAGCAGTGAAATATCACCAGCACGGGAATGCAGTGAAGTTTTTTTACGTGCAAAAGGCAAGATCTTGTCCAAATTGATTTGGCAGTGGACCGTGCATCTTTAATTTTAAGCGCACGCTCTGTAAAATTGAATGGCATTTATTTTGTTGGATCGTCAGGCCTTGCGAGTGGCGAGAGATAGAGAGAAGGTGAGTGTGTGATTCAGAGAATGTGAAACTTAACGAGAATCTTGTACAGAGAAAAAAAGCCAATAGCAGAGAATGTGTGCTTCTGGATGATCACATCAGAGAGAGAGAGAGAGAGTGTGTGTGTGTGTGTGAGCGATTTGGCGACGTCGTTGGCGACGGCGACGGCAGCGCCACTGCACTGGTCGCACTGCTTCCCGTGTGCGCGCGGGCTCGTTTTCCATCCCTCCCGTCTCCTTTCGTTCATGTCGACTGCGTTCAAAAAGCTGTTGTTGTTATTGTCTGTGGGCTTGAGGCATCATCCATGGCTCGACTTTTTCTCTCACACTGCTGCTGTGCTCGGTAGGAACGGGATCTCAGTCCCGGCTTGCTGTCTGGTTGGCTGTACTGTGCTGTATCTTGCAGCGCGGGAGCTTTTTGAAGCATCAGTGGTGCGCTTTTGAGCCGGCAGCGAATGGACTGCGTTGTGGCTCGCTGAGGTGGGTCAACGCCCCCGACCAAGTTTGAATTATTTGTCCTTGTTGGCATTCCAACGGCCCCGTCCAGTGGCGCGCATGAGGGCTCACCCACCTTCATGTCATTCTGCTAGGCGCCGCAACCAGATTACACGCTGAGCGTCTCTTCCCTTTGACCCGTCCCGCCCGGGTGCAGGCCCCACCTCCTGATTCTCAGACACCGACAGTATGATCATTCAAAGCCTGGAGCGCACCGCGCATTTGGCTTGGAATCCCGTGGGCGAGGTGAGGTCTTCCGTCGTACGACTCGCCTTCTTGACAGAACCAACGACATCAGTTTTGGGTCCCTGCAACTCTAACAGCACCTTTCTTCACCCCGCCAACCCGGGCCACAGGACATTCTCCTGGCCACCGGTACCGATGCGCAACAATTGAGCCCCGATTTTAGGTGCGTACCCGCGCATATCCCATACAGCAGCAGACAAAGCCCAGGACCCAGGGTCGTCTTGCTCTCGGCAAATCGAGGATTGTTCTTAACCCCCCGCGCGCTCTCTTGTTCTTCAGCACAACTGGTCATCTCGAGGTGGTCCGCCCTCAGCTCTCGAGCTCTTCGGCCCAGCCAGATCAAGGCAGCACCAACCCTGATGTGGTCGTTTCCCTGGAAAGCCCCGATCGCTTTCACGACTTGAAATGGGCCGCCCCCGCCAGCGTACGTCCCATGTTGTCCTGCTCTGCAGCCGACCCTGGTCGACAAGGCTCATGTCTCCTGCACTTCAACAACCTGCTTAGCGCGAAAATGGCCTGCTGGTTGGCGCCATGGATTCTGGTGTCATTCGCCTGTGGGATGCTGACGCCCTCATGCGGTACGCTGCACATCCAACATGACCATCTTCGCTCACCGTCTTTACTCAAACAACCATTGCCCTCTGCCCGGTGCCTCTCTCATCTCAATACCTCCCTCTGTCGTGATCACCGTGGGTCGGACTAGGAATGATCCCAATGCCTTGCTCGCTGCCCCGCGCCACGTAAGTCCTTACCCTTAGTCATCTGGCCTTGGCACTTTTCAGCACTTTTGGACTTTGAACTCACGCCCCATGATGCTCTGGGCTTGGCCCTGCGCTGCCTGCACACCCGACAGCATTCCGGAGCCGTGCGCGGCCTTGCGCTCAATCGCCTTGAGCCTCATTTGCTCGCGTCCATTGCCGCCGATTCCGAAGTCTACATCATGGACCTCAACAAACCTGAACAGCACTTTGCCCCGGGCCCAGATCTCCAGCCGCCCCAGGCCATGACCGGCGTGGCCTGGAACTGCCAAGTGCCCTACATCCTGGCGACTGCCGGCGCCAGTGGTCGCACCACCATCTGGGATCTTCGCGCCAGCAAGGCCATCATGACCCTCTCACACAACACCCCCGGCTTTCAGCCTCGCAGCCTCGCTTGGAATCCCGACCAAGGGCTCAGTCTCATCGTTGCTAGCGATAGTGACGCAACACCCGTCATCCAACTCTGGGATCTCCACAACGCCCAGGCCTGCGTCCACCAACTCCAAGGCCACCAAAAGGTTGGCGCTTGTTCATCCGCCCTCGATTCTCCCGTTTGTGCGCATGCCTTGCCATCCCATTCACCCCGGCTTCGTGTCGTTCCAACCCAATATTTTGATAGGGCGTGCTCTCTGTTGCTTGGTGTCCTCAAGACTCGAATCTCCTTCTCTCCGGCGGCAAAGATAACCGTGCCCTGTTGTGGGATCCCTTGGCCGAAGCCTACGAAGACCAGCTGCTCAAGGAGCTTCACCCCGCTGGCAACTGGATCTTTGACGTCAATTGGTGCCCACGCAATCCGAGTCAGTCTCCTCTCTTTCTGTTGCAATCCATCTTTGATGGAAGCTCCGCACGACATTGTCCGCGGCAACGCCTGCTTGGGCCTTAAAGCGTTGCCGCCCCCTGTTGGCTTTTGTACTTGTCTCACGCAGCCCTGTGTCGCTGTGTATTGGATGCAGGTTTGGTTGCCACAGCCGCTTTTGATGGCCAGGTCCGCTTGCAGTCGGTTGAGGCCGGCTCTGAGGTCGCAACGACCAACCCACAGCCCGTCCTCTCCCCACGTCTCGGTGCCCATACCCCGACCTCCGTCGGTGGCCAAAGCACCGGACAGCCTGGCGGCAGTGGTCATCATCACCATCATACTCCCAAATGGCTCAAGCGCCCCTGCGGCGCCTGCTTCGGCTTTGGTGGCCATCTCGTGCGCTTCTCATCCGAGTCTCGCCGAGTCCAAGTCTTCGCTTCTGTACGCGATGACCAATTGGCCACCCAAGCCGACAGCCTCAACAAGGCGTTGGCCGCCACGGACACTCAGACTCTGGAGCAGCGCACCGAGGCTCTCGAGCAAACAGGGGCCGCCGGCGCCATCGACGGCGATGATGTCATCTGGCGTTGCATTGTCAGCAGTCTTGATCCCCAGGCCCGTAACAAGTATATGGGCCTCTTGGAGCTCAGGTGTGCTGGTGTAGTTCCGACCGTTCTACTCCCGCTCACCAGGACTTCCTGGGTGGTCTCAGATGGTCTTCTTCTCGCTCATCTCGTGCCTCCGTGCGCCTTCTTCTAGTGCCGACACGGTTGCACAGGAGGCCGACCACATTGCATCTGGTGTGAGTCAGGGCCCCGCTGTGCCGCCCACGCTGGGCGACGACCTCTACGACGGCTGCTTCAATGCCACCCCGGGCACCTCCGAACACGTGCTCGTGCAAGCGTTGGCCATGCGTCAGTTTGACCTGGCCATCGACGTCTGCCTGGCAGAGGATCGTATGGCCGATGCCCTCATGCTCGCCATTGCCGCCGGGTATGTGCGCGTCGTCCCGTTCCACGCCAAGATCATCACAGCTTTTGATCAGTATTCCTGTTCACATATCACATCTCTCTCAATTTCTATTGTTTATTTTATTTTATTTTATTTTTTATTTTATTTTTTATTTTTTTTTTGACTGTCATTTTTTTTTTTTTTTTTTACTTTTATTAGACCAACCGAGCTGAGTCGTGTGCAGCAATTCTACTTTGCCCGCACCCAGTCCCCAAGCGCACGCTTGCTGCGCATGATTACCGAGGAGCGCTGGCTGGACATTGTCTCCCACATGGAGCTGGCCGCTTGGCAAGACTGCATGGCACTTCTTCTCACCTATGCTCCAGCCAACGTGATGGGTGATCTGAGCAATGCGTTGGCGCGGCGACTGCAAAATCAAGGCGACTGGTGCGGTGCCCTCGCAACCTTGCCAGGATTGTGGCGTGTCATCGAGGCAGAGGAAGCTTGCTCATTTGAATGCTTGCTCTTGTCTGTCTCGGACCTTGATTATCACTTAGGTTTTCCGCATGCCTTTGCTATGTGATTGCTGGTGCTTTGGACGATTTTGGCTCGTGCTATGGCGCTCTCCTGCAGGATTCTGATTTGACTGATGCACAGCAAGTGTACGCATGTGTCGAAAAGTTGACGGTGTTGCGTCGCGCCCTTGCGCTACAGCGTGGCCAGTCTCCACCCGTATCCCCGGCCTATACGCAGCGCGTGCTCGCGCTCTGCTCCACGTTGGCAGATCAGCACGATCTCAAGGCAGCCTATGGTATCCTTTCGGCGGCCATCGAGTCCACCGACCCATGGCCACGCACGGCCGCGCCGACCTTGCGCACCCAATTGGCCGTGGCGGCGGGGGCCAAGCCCCTGCCCACCTCGATCAACCCCAACGCCGTAGCTTCTGCACAGCTGCGCGCCAATCTGGCCCAGTCCAGCCCCGGTTATGGCGCCAATGCTGGTCCCAGTGGCTTTTTCACGGGTCAACCTGCGCCCACGCACATGTCCAACCCGGCGGCTCGCTCGCCATATCCATCTTCGGCCATGAACGCATTCAGCCCCGCTAACATGGGTGTCCCCAATGGTCATGGGGCCATGTCCGCTGTATCAGCTGCCTACGGCACGAGTCATGCGCCAGCCACCATGCCTGGTGGTTACGGTGCTTCGGGTGCCACGCCCTATCAGCCACCTGCGGCGTCTGCGCCTCACTCTTCAGCTCCGCCCCTGGCAGCACCGGCCCCAACGTATCCCGCCAGCTCCTCTTACAACCCCTCGATGGGCTATGGTGCCCCCCCGCCCTCCCGCTTGTCCGCTTCTGCGTCCATGCGTCCAGCAGCCGGCATGACTCCGCCCATGGGTCTTCCCACACAGGCAACCGCCTCCGTGGCGCCCATCACCACTCCTGGCATGTACGCAGGTGGCCACATGGGTGCCAACGTGGCTGGGGGTGCCGTGCACGCTGCCGCGACGCCCGCAGCAGCGCCCGTCGCGGCGGTGGCACCCAAGGCGAAGCCAGACAAGCGCTGGAATGACCCTCCCATGATCATGTCACGGAAGAAACAGCAGTTCCAGGCCCCGGCGCCCATTGCCATGCCCATCGTGGGAGCACCAGAGCAGGCACAGAGCCAGCCAGCTGCATCGGCCATGGCTGCAGCTGGTGGTGCAACTGCACATGCAGCCATGGGCGGCGCTGCGTCACCAGCTGCAGCGGCGGCTGAGGCAGCCCCAGCTCCGGCGCCCGAACCCGAAGTGCCGGCCGAGTTTCAGCCTCTGGTCGAAAAGTTTGAGGCCTTGGTGGACCAATACGATGCGCGAGCCAATGCCGTAAGGTTTTCGTTTCTTGTTCTTTTGTTCCTAGCTCACCCGATGTTGCTGCACTCACAATTTGCAATCTCATGTGTGTTCAGGCACAAAAGCGCAAATTGGCCGACGTACGCCGGCGATTGTTGAGCTTGAAGCAAGTGGCTGCCAACCAGTACTTGGATTCGGAGACGGGACAGTCGATGTTTTACAGTTTGCAATACATTGAGGTGCGTGGTGCAAGCGGCGCGCGGGTGTGAGCTGCATCGTTCGCCGTGCCTGGGCCACTCACATGCTTGCACAAACCTGATGTTGCATAGCTTGGGGATTTTGCCAATGCCCTGGCTTATCAGCAGTACCTCACAGCCAACACCAACCCGGATGTCACGGGGCAACCCCTGATGGCGCTCAAAGCGCTGATCAACATTGCCAAGACGCAAAGTTCTTAAAGCCAAATATCAAGTGGGACGCGAGTATGAAAGCCCCGGAGAGCAAAGCGTGCCCTGCATGTGGCAGAACCTTTGCGGGTCCATGACCACGAGACTGAATTCATCAAGAGAAAGCCGCCATCTCCAGTCACACAATGTGTTTCAGCGAGTCAGCAAACCGGGTAACATGTTATGAGAGCACCACTTATGGCTCGGGGAGAATCAGAGAGAGTTAGGAGAGTTTAGAGAGAGAGAGAGCTTCTAGAGTTGAGAGAGATAGAGAAGAGAGAGAGAGAGGGCTCATAGTGTTTAGAGACAGAGACAGAGACAGACAGAGCGAGACAGAGACAGAAAACAGAGAGAGACAGAGATACACACAGCTAGAGACAGAACACAGAGAGAGAAAACAGAGAGAGAAAAGTACAACTACCACATGTAACAACAACAGGGAACAAAAGGAACAAGCACCACTGAAAAACAACAACCAACAACAGAGAGAGAGACAAAAAAAGACAGAGACAGAGACAGAGAGACAGAGAGAGAAAACAGAGAGAGAGAGAGAGAGAGAGAGATTTCAACATTCACCCATTCACATGTTGAGTCAAAGGAGAAAAAGTTTTATTTTTTTTTCTTGTGCTTTTCTTGTTTTGAGCGGCGGCGCGAAGAGGAGATGGTGATTGCGGGATGATGGTGCTGCCTGCTGCGGAGGAGAGGATGAGATAAGCGGGGGAGGAAGAGGGGAGGATAGCGAGGGGGGCTCTGGTTGGGGCGAAGGGGAGGCGGTGGAGGCGGGGCTTTTGATTTTCGAATGCTTTTTCAGCGCATACCAGGAGCATGTCCGAGCCATGGTGGGGTGTGATGGTGGCGCTTGGGGTGCTTGTGGCGCTGACGCGGATGGCTGCCGGGGATGGGGCTGAGGATTGGCGGGAGACGGTCGCGGTGGGTGGGCTGGATGCGCCCAGCTGCACAGCCATGGATGATGTGGACGGCGATGGTCGGGCCGACTTGGTTGTGGGAACCATGACCGACCGCAAAATTGCTTGGTACCCGCACTTGGGGGCGGGGCTGTACGGCAGTCAACACCTTGCATGGCTCGGCGCCTCCCCAATCACCTTCCTGGCCGTCGGGGACCTAGACGGCGACGGTGCTCCTGATATCGTGTTTGCTGATGAGAGTGCCGCCGGTCTACGCTGGCTCCGTAACGGGCGCGCCACAGGTGAGCCGTTTTCGGCGAAAGCCGCGAGCCTACCCATCTCCATCGTGCCAGAGACGGTCAATGCCCTGCTACTCGTTGACCTCGATATGGATGGTGCCCTGGACGTGGTCGGGAGCACGACGTTGGATGGCGCGGGCGGTGAGCGCGTCTTGAGCTGGCATCGAAACAGAGGTAACGGCACTTGGCACGCCCCCATCATCCTGGCCCAAAACGCCGCCGATCCCTACTTTCACCTTAGCACCGTTGATCTCTACGGAGACGGCCATTTGGCCTTGCTGCACATTCGCAGCAGTGTTACCACCATGATTCCGAGCTTTTATCCCAATGGCACCCACAGCCCACCGCGTGCCGTGGCTACCGCTGGCTGCTCCCCCTTTAACTTTGCCGCTGGCGACATTGACGATGATGACCGTGCCGACCTGGCCGTGGCCTGCCCTTCAGAGGGCATCATGGGCTGGCTGAAGAATGCCGGTGATGGAACGTTTGATTCCCTCGCCGTCATTGGCAGCGCCATCGCCGGTATAAATTGGGTCGTCTTGGGGGACTTGAATGGGGACGGACAACTTGACCTTGCGGCCGTCGCTACCGCGGCGCCCATCACGCTCTTGTGGGTCCGCAATCGCCTTCACACCGCATCTCAGCGATTTGGTAGCCCCAGTCCCCTCACCTTTCCGGGGTCCGGCATCGCTGGCATTCACCTTTACGATCTCAACGAGGACGCATTGCTCGATGTTCTTGTCATTATGAAATCTGGTGATCGCATTGGCTGGCTGGCCAACACTGGGGGTGGTGTCTTCCCCACTGAAGCCACCCCTTTGGTGTCCACCGTCAAGAATCCCACCGTGGCTCTGCCCGTCGACATGGATGGCGACAGTCTGCTCGACTTACTCTGCGTCTTCAATCAAGGCAACGCCATCTCCTGGTTTCGTGGTGACGGCACGGGACAGTTTGGACTGGAAATCAGTCTGACCACCGCGGTCGAAAGCATCTCATCCATCACCGTGGCAGATCTCGATGGCGATTCTTTGCCTGACCTGGCTGCCGTGAGCGCGATGCAGGGGTCTCTGATGTGGTTGCGCAACGAGGGCGCCGGCGCCTTTGCCCAACCCACCGTTATCGCCAACGACCTTGATCAGCCTTTCGTGGTGCTGGCTGCTGACATTAACGGCGATGGCGCTCTTGACCTGGTGTCAGGGTCTAGCGGTGCCAGCACCGTGTTTTGGTCCCGCAACCTTGGCAACGGTGCATTTGCAACCACAGCCATCCTGCTGGCCAACATCTCCGGCCCTTATGCGCTCGCGTTTTCAGAGTTGGATGGCGATGGTCGACGCGACCTCGTGGTATCCAGTTTCTTCCAGGCTGCTGTCTACTGGTATCCTCAAATCCGACCTGGCACATATCGTCCCCAGAGCCTGGTTGGCAGCGGACTTGAGGGGGCAATAGACCTGGCAGTCGCGGATCTGGACGGCGATGGGTGGACCGACGTGGTGTCTGCGGCCAGTGAGGACAACAGCGTCTTTTGGCACCAAAATCTGCAAGGGCAAGGGTTTGCCAACCCCAAGCTCGTGTCGAATGATACTCTGGGCGTCTGGCGCGTGGCAGCGGGCGATCTAGATGGCGATGGGCAACCCGACATCGTTGCTGGGTCAAGCACCGACAACACGGTGGCGTGGTTTCCAAACCTGGGCAATCCCACCTCGTTCGGAGGCAAAACTACTTTAATCTCCTCCGCCATGGACTTGCGTGACATGCGGCTCGCTGACTTGGATGGTGATGGTGACCAAGACGTGATTGTGGCAAGCTTTGCCGATCATCTTGTGCGCGTCCTTATGAATCCTCGGTACGTGTGCATGTTCGTGCCGTTTGAGAAAGCACGCGTCCCGACGAACGGCTCACGACGCCTTGTCATGCTTGCTCTGGTGCCCACACGTGTAGCTACACCGCGCCTGTATGGGACCAACCCGTCGGTCTTGCCGACATTGTGACAGTGCAAAACCGCGTCCAAGCAGCTATCATGTTCAACGAGAGCGCCGTGTTGTTGGCGAGTGTCCCGGATGTGGCCCAACCCACCGCGGGCACCCTGCGTGTCTTGACACAAGGGCCAACGGGCGCGTGGAATTTTGATCGCTTTTTGGCGTCGCCACGCTATGGAAGTGGCTACCTAGTACGCCAGTTGCTGGCTGCAGAGTTTGGCTTTGTTGTGGTAGAAGCACCGGCTTCAGACGCCGACGGTACCCAGCTATTGTTCTATGCGCACAACGAGTTGGAGCCTCGAGCTGCCTTGACCCTGCGCCCTGGCGCCCGGGGCGAGCACGTCACTGTCGCAGGCCAGACGCTGCATTATTTTCAAGGCCGAGTTGGCAGCGAGGTGGTGGCGCCTGTTTGCTCAATGCCCCTCCCCGCCGAGCTTCCAGCGACCTTTACAACATGGTCGTCCGAGAACGCGGCCTGCTTTCCTGTGGCAGTGTCGACCACCATTATTGTGCAGGCCGGGGAGCAGCTGCTGGCCGGAGGCACCGGCATCTACTCGTTGCACATTGATGGCTCGCCGTTTGGGGCTCTTCGCACAGTTCTGTCCAGCTCCGATGCCGAGCGCATGACGTTTTGTCCTGTGGCAGCCGTCACAACCACGGGGCGCCAGATCTTCACGTTAATCCTAGACAATCAGCTGTATCTGGGCGTATGGGCCGTTGCCTACACGCAGGGCCTCTATCTCCAGTCCATGCACGCCATGGCCAACTGTACTGAACCTCGGGCCATGCACCTGCTCAATGACGCCACCCTCATGCTGACGTGTGTGGATCCGTCGTTCCTGCACGTGGTCGTGATGCACATTGAAACGGGTTTGGCCACGTGGGTCTACTCTGAGTTACTGCCAGTACCTTTGGATCCTGCAGCCGGGCGCTTGGTACCCCGAGGCAATGCGACGAGTGCCACCTCTTTTTTCATGCTAGGTGGAACGGGCCTCGTGCATTTGGACATGGTACGCTTCGTAGATCATGACACGGGCACGCCTCTATGGGACGCCACAACATTGGTAAAGCCTTTTATTTCAACCGTGGAATTTTACTTGATTGTCTTTTCGGGTGTGCTGCCAACCGCCCCACCCCGCATTGAGACGACGATGGCGAGCACGCTGCCTTTTACTGTCGATTCAACTACAAGTCAGCACCAAACGAGGGCTCCAACCGAGATCGCCAGCACCACGTTGGCGCCCCAGCCGGCTGGATCGGCAGAGAGCAACGGCGGCAACGCAATTGTGGCGGGCGTAGTAGCGGGTGTCGCTGCCGTGCTAGTGGTTGCCATTGGCGTTGTTGCCTGGCACCGCCGTCGACAGCGGAAGCCTTTGCCCAACGGGGCGCTTGGCATAGGAGACATTGTCCCCATGTCCTCCGCGGAACAGATTGAGCTCTGTCTGTTGCAGTTTACGGATCAACTACGCAGCCCGGGTTGGCGCGGCGGGCGAGGTCCACAACCGCTGAATATGGCCTCACAGTAAGTTGGATCAGTAAACTCGGCGCACGCTGCGCACCAAGCACCGCTTTGGTTTTTCTCAAAGCCTGGCACTTTTGCTGTAGGAAATGGTTGCAAGATCTGGGCCCACTAGGTAAAGGCAACTTTGGCGTGGTGCGCAAGGTTGGTTCTACTGTGCGCGCAAAGCCTGCAAAAGTTCAGCAGCATCCGAGCAGCTGACAAACGTGGTTCAATTGTTAACAGGCCAAACCCATACGCCACACGGAAAAATTTGGCGACCAACTAGTTGTGGCGGTCAAGCAATTTGAAAGTATCCAGGTCCGTCGTGGGGCTGAGGGGGTGGAGACTGTGCCATTGCTGGGGAATCGAAGAGCTGTGCTTGCTCACGTAATTTCTGCTGCTGGCCAAGCAGGCTGCTGATTACAAGGCGGTCATGATGGAGGCGGCTCTCATGCACACGGCTGGTCGACACCCACACATTGTGCAGTTGCTGGCTGTGGTGCAAGACAGGTACGACCTTTGGAGACGACGAAAAAGAAGAGTTCTCAAGGAGAGCGAGAGCGAGCGAGAGGGAGCGGGAGAGAGCGAGAGAGAGAGAGCGAGACAGAGCAAGAGAGAAGGTGGAATAAACTAAAGGACGCAAGGGAGCGGGGGATTGCAGACCATTAAGAGTGTTGATGGCGCGTGCGTGGTTGTGCGTGAATGCATACATGCAGCATGCCCATTTCGCTGGTCTTGGAGTATGCAAGTCTAGGTGAGCTGCGAAGCTTTTTACGCAAGCAAGCAGCAGGGTCTCTTCGTTATGACACACAGGTTTGTGGGTCCTTGATTTTTTTCACGCATAGCCGCTTGTCTCGGAACAGATTGGGGATGAGGAAGTGTCCATTGACATTTATATCCACGCTGACTTAGATTGAATTGGGCGAGCACGTGTCTCTTGGGCTAGCCCACGTGCACAGTTGCCAACTGGTGCATCGTGACCTGGCCAGCCGGAATGTGTTGCTGTTTCCGCGGTCGGGGCGCGGCCCGCTTGCCAAGCTCGCCGATTTTGGCCGTATGTGCTGTCATCTTTTACTTGGTGGTCGGCCTTTGTGTGTGTGTGTGTGTGTGTGGCCATTGCTTCTCATGTCAACTCTCTCCCCTCCTTTTTCTCTCCAATAACTGTGACAGTTACGCGTTATGTGTCATCAGACCATGCCTACTATCAAGCATCCAGCTTGGATGACCTTCCCTTTCGGTATGACTAGCTACTGCTTCTCCCTCGGCACTCGGGTCTCATCGCTCTTTGCCGTCGTGCGCCAGCCCGACCCTCAGAGGCATCATCTTCATGCCTTTTCCTTTTTTCCTTCTTTTTCTCCACAACAGGTGGATGGCTCCCGAGGCGTTGCTGCGCGCCCAGTTTTCGCCGGCATCGGATGTGTGGTCCCTTGGCATCGTCATTTGGGAGGTTGGTGCGCCTGCTTGTTGACCAAATGGATCTGCCAAGTGCGCAAGGGGCGGCCTTGCGCGCGTGCACACCAGTGGGAAATGAACGGCCGTCGGTCGATGGATCGGTGCTCATCTCAACTTTGTGACTGGATAGATATTTTCCCAGGGGCGAACCCCCTTTGGGGAGCGCACCATGCAGATGATGCTCGAGCTGCTGCAGGCTGGGAAGCGCCTGGATACGCAGCACATCCCCTCGGCCCTGCATGCGTACGTAACGGCGAGAACTTGGACGATTGGACAGTTGTCCATGGTTGCTCATTTTGATTGTGCGCCCTGTGTTGTCGACGGTCGTTCCTTAGGCTTTTGAGCGCGACGTGGGAGGCCAAGGCAGAGCTGCGACCCAGCGCTCAGGCCGTGGCACAGGCGTTGCAGGAGCAGCACGCCCCCATGGCAGGCTTTGCGGACAATCGCGGCCTTTTGGCCCTGGAAGAACCTACCGTTTTGGAAGAAGCAGAGAGTGTCTTATGACCCAATCGACCTGGATTGGTGCGACTGCTGGGCGCTGTGCGAGCAAGCTGCGTTGTGCAGCTTTATAATTTGCATGATGTTAAAAACAATAAACATCTTAACAAGCAAGAAGAAGAAGTCGAATGCGGCCCATTGTTTCCACACCTTACCCATGCCAGTTTCGGTGCTGCAACGGACACACAAGCGGACAGGGCTGAGAGGTCTGTGGCCCAACCACCTTCACACAGCACAAGCCGAGAGCCAGCAAGAAGGGTCAAGCGGGAGACATGATTCGTGCGTGGGACTTTGCTTGTGCTTCGGTCGAATACTGTCCCAATTCCCTGCATGCATGCAAATAATCGGTCGAAACTTTTTGGTGGTTGCTGTGCAACGCATAGGAAGTGACTGATTTGATTGCTCGTTTGCAGTCAGACTGTCGCAGGCAACCGGAGAACCGTCCTCCGTGGCTCACTTGGGCTCTACTGGGTCACGGAAGGATGCTGTTGCGCCACTTGATCTTGCGGGCCGAGCAAAACATGAAGCTGTCGGTAGCATGGGCCCATGCAAATCTGGGTGGCATTGCAGGCACTTCCAACGGTGCACGTCACGCCGCGCGCAAGGTCCTTGCACTCAGCCTGGACAAGCATGGCTTTGGGTAACGATCCGGTCAGGTTGCTGTCCAGCATCTTGCTTCAAACTCGTGCAGCTGGAGGTGCAGCTTGGGGGTGCCCGGAGCACCAACAGCCGCAAGGCCCATGGGTGTTTGCCAGAGTGGAGTACTAGCGCCGCTGCCTCAGTGCAAAGGCAATCCTAGCCGCCTCGTTTGAATGTTGTGTCTGTCCACCAAAACGTCGAGGGTCTGCAGGACAACGGGCAGTCTTTGGTCTTGCGCACGGAAGTCACTCCTGCTCACTGCTGAAGACCCCCTCATCGCGAGAGGTCACCGAGTTGATTCGCGCACCCACCAGAGATCCCCACTCGGGCCACCACATCTGAGCATTTTTCTCCCAGGTTGAATCAGGGCTACAGTGGTTGATTTTGTTTCCTCCTCACCGCCAACATGACCCAGTGGAACTGCGTCTTGATCGGCGCTGCCCTCACCGTGGGCTTGGCCTCGGCCGTGACAACGCGCATGCCTGAGACCACGACTCGCCAAGCTCCCGTGACGACTGCCACCGAGCCGGCCGTAGTCTTGGGCGCTTTTATCGAGTCGGACTTGTTCCTCGACCTCGAGGTGGGTGACGTTGATCCCTGAGCTATCGCCTGAGATCGTGCCTCTTCCCAGCTCATCCTTGGTTGCCACGTGCTTAGGATAACAATGGCAAGGGTGTCAAGCTGAAAGACGCCAATGTCGGCTACCGCTTTGAGGGGGGCTTTCCGAGTGGCATTGCGTTTGATTACACCCGTGAGTCGAGACGGACGGCAGAGACGATCTAGTGGTGTCGTGCAAAGGGAAATTCGGTGTGGGCTGACGGTTGTGTTGTGCTGTTGCGTGGGACGTAGCTGGTCGCTGCAAATGCGTGTCTCCCGTGCCGTGCGAAGATCCCGAGGGTCTGAGCTGCTTCCGAGCACGTACGTGCAGTGACTCCATGGGCCTGAGCTGCTCGCACGTCAAGCCCTGCGATGGCGATGACAACATCAAGACCAAGAAGAAGGTATTTTTTGTTTTTTATCCGATCCTACAAATGTGCTCTTTGATCGCTCGCAGACTGGCACACACTCACAGCCGCAATGCTGGTTCTTGTACCCGGCTGGTATGACAGTTTAAATTTGCGGCCACGTGTGGTGGCGAGAGTGGCGAAGATCTCTCAGAACAGGACCGTCGTCGCATCTACAAGGCGCTGCGCGATGTCATCGAGGAGTGCCCCCGCATCAACAAGGTAAATATCAAGACGGCGTAAGAGCAGAGACAACGCTCCACATGCATGGAGGTGCTGCTCTTGGGCTGATGCATTATGATTCTCACTTATCGCCCCCATGATGCCATTCCGCTTTGTTCAGCCCTGCCGTATCAAGCTGCGTGACGAAGATGACTTGAAATTTGCTGATGAGGACGACTCTGGCCTTGACTCTTACATGGTCAAGGTCAAGGTCCGCTCTGCCAAGGTATGGCTTGGCTTGCTTTGCTCAAAAGCGCACCATGAGTTCCTTTGCAACAAATACCAGATACCCGACCTGCACCGACTCTCACCTCTGCTTCCTCGCTGTCTCGCTGCTAGGATAAGCGCAAGTTGGAGAAGTGCTTTGACCAGGTGGACATGGATCTCCTGAACCGCGGCGACTGTACCATTGCGCTGGAGGCCATTAACTTGCCTGGTGTGGCCACCTCGACCTCGACGTCCTCCTCTTCTTCCTCCTCCACCTCGACGTCCACGTCGACTTCGTCGTCGTCATCGTCGTCGTCGTCCTCATCGACTTCATCGTCCTCCTCCACCTCGACGTCCACGTCCACGTCTACCTCGTCGTCGTCGTCTTCATCTTCATCGACCTCGACCTCAAGCTCCACCTCGACCTCCACCTCATCCTCATCCTCGTCCTCGTCCAGCACCTCAACTTCGACGTCCACCTCCACCTCGACTTCCACCTCGACTTCGACGTCCACCTCCACCTCGACTTCCACCTCGACTTCGACTTCCACCTCGACTTCGACTTCCACCTCGACTTCGACTTCCACCTCCACCTCCACCTCGTCATCCACCTCTACCTCGTCATCCACCTCTACCTCGTCATCCACCTCCACCTCGACGTCCACCTCGACTTCCACGTCCACGTCCACCTCGACGTCTACCTCCACCTCCACGAGTCTGGAACCTGGATGGTTTGTGGGTGGATTGGAAGAGTCTTGTGATGATGTATGCAGTGCTGCCAACCTCGGCTGTCTGGAATCACGCCTAAGCGATGTGGACACGATGGATCGCTTCGAGTACGTGTACAACACCGAGCTGGGTAGCCCTCTGGGCAGCTGCGTTCCTGCCGACTCGCAGGCCGCAGGTGGTCGCAACACGCCTCGCTATGTTGAGGGCTCGGGCCGTTGCGAGTACTACGATGGCGGTGCAGCGGTGCCTACCTGTGACAAAGAGGCCATTGGCAGCCAGCGCCGTATCTGCTGCTGTGCAAGCTCTGATGCGGACTGCCCCATTGCGCCCTAAAATTCTTCTCGAATTTGGTGCCGTGCCTTGCTCCCGTGACGAGTCGCATCCATTTACATGTCAGTCCCGTTTGTTGAGTTTACTTCTCTTTGTTTCTTCTTTTCTTTTTTTCGTTATTGCTTGTCTTGCTCTGGTGGGGTTGAGGGCTGGCACATTGCTGCGTCTGGCTCGGCTTGAGGCCGTTTCAGGTTGCGCGTGCCTGTCCACGCTCCCGGCTGATGTGGGTGCCTGTTTCCAAGGCCCAACGAAGCAAAAATTGAGCTGCCAGCCTGCATACCTCTTGCGCGCCATCGTGATGACCAGACACCTGGGACAGTAGCTGGAATCAGAGCCGAGCCAATTTAAGACGGCTCACGCTGCAGTGGTGCACGGGGGAAGCGGGGAGCAAGTGGCGTATGTATAACGTGTCTATTGGCGGACAGCACTGGGACGAAAAAAAAAGAAGAAGAAGGAAAACGGGGAACAAGGCAACACTCAGACATGTACAGGCAGACACTGCCACGAAAGGTACACACAGGCAGGCAGGCAGGCGCACGCGGACACGCCGTGCCTCTAGTCAGACAGACAAGAACGCTGTAGGTGGGGAGGGAAGAAGGGCGAAGCAAAGGAGGGGCGTTTATGCCTCCTCATCGGAGAGGGACTGAAACAAAAGGCTCTGGTCGTAAGCAGGGGGGCCAGTCATGCCTGCGCTAGCCATGATAGAAAGCGGCACCTGAGGCAGAGCCCGGTGAAGCGTAGGGATGTTAATGTCGTGCGACGGGACAATGTCTGGCTGGGCTTTTTTAACGTAGGCACGCTTCTTGCGGGGAGGAGCTTCATCCACGTCGTTGGATGCGGCCTTGTTCCGGCGCTTGGGCTGGAAGCTAGGTTGAGGCACAATGCGAGGTGGGGGTGGGGAGAGCGAGAGAGACGCAGGGTGAGCTGGTTGTTTCAGATCAGCAACAAGAGATGGGGCGAATGAGATGCAGTAGATTGGCCAGGACCGACGGACCGGTAGTTGGGGTAAAGGGCTTGGTGTTCCTGCTTGAGCTGATCGGCACGCTGCTGATAGATGGCACGGTCCTCGGAGGAAAGCTCGTTCCAGGAGGTACCAATGAGTTTGGAGAGCTCCGAGTGGTGGAGGTTGGGATGGGTCTGACGGAGAACGGCACGTTGGTCCTTGGCAAAGATCATAAAGCTGTTGAGAGGGCGCTTGACCTTGACCCCGGGGTCCATGGGTTCGAGGCTGGCGACGGGGGCGGCCTTGGCGGCCTTTGTGGCCTTTGTGCCCTTTGCGGCCTTTGCGGTCTTGGCGGGGGCCTTGGCGCCCTTGGCCGTCTTGGCGGGGGCCTTGGCGGCCTTTGTGGTCTTGGCTGGAGCCTTGGCGGCCTTTGTGGTCTTGGCGGGGGCCTTTGTTGCCTTGGTGGCCTTGGCGGGAGCCTTTGCGCCGCGTGGGGCCTTGGCCGCCTTTGGTGCGGGCTGAGTGGTGGGCTTGCCGCGCACCTTGGTCGTCGTCTTGGGACGATCCTTGGCCATGGCGACGATGATGGCGAGAGAGGGTCTACAGGGATTGAGGCAAGAGAGGGAGAGAGAGAGA